TGTTGGGTGGATAGTTTGCAAATATTCTCTCCCATTCTGTAGGTTGTCTCTCTCTCTGTTGTTTCCTTTGCTAAGCAGATGTTTTTGGTTTGTTGCTTTGTCCATTTGTCTATTTTTGCTTTTGTTACCTGTGCTTTCAAGGTCTTATAAAACAAAACAAAACAAAACAAACAAAAAAACACTTTGTCCAGACCAATGTCCTGAAGCATTTTCTCTATGCTTTCTTCTAGTAGTTTCATAGTTTCGAGTCTTACATTTGTGTGTTTAATCCATTTTGAGCTAATTTTTGTGTGTGGTGGGAGATAGGGGTCTAGGTTCATTCTTCCGCATGCTGATATCCAATTTTTCTGGCACCACTTACTGAAGAGACTGTCCTTTCCCCAATGTATATTCTTGGTGCCTTTGTAAAAAATCATTTGGCTGTAAATACCTGGATTTATATCTGGGTTTTCTCTTCTGTTCCATTGGTCTATGTGTCCGTTTTGTTTTTGTTTTTGTTTTCTGAGACAGAGTCTTACTCTCTTGCCCAGGCTGGAGTGCAGTGGCACGATCTCGGCTCACTGCAACCTCCACCTCCCAGGTTCAAGCAATCCTCCCACCTCAGCCTCCCGAGTAGCTAGGAATACAGGCATGAGCCACCATGCTTGGCTGATTTTTGTATTTTTAGTAGAGACAGGGTTTCACCTTGTTGGCCAGGCTGGTCTTGAACTCCTGACCTCAGGTGAACTCTTGCTTCGGCCTCCCAAAGTGCTGGGAATACAGGTGTGAGCCACTGCACCTGGCCTATGTGTCTGTTTTTATGCCAGTGCCATGCTGTTTTGGTTACTATAACCTGGTGGTATATTTTGAAGTCAGGTAGTGTGATGCCTCCAGCTTTCTTGCTTTTGCTCAAAGGCCCCGAATGCTTTGTCCATACAGATTGCATACAGATTTTAGGAGTTTTTTTTCTATTTCTGTGATGAATGTCATTAGTAGTTTGGTAGAGATTACATAGAATCTGTAGATCCCTTTCGGTGGTATGGACAGTTTAACAATTTCATTCTTCCAATCGATGAACATGGGTTATTTTTTCATGATTTTGTGTCCTCTTCAGTTCTCTCATCAGGGTTTTATAATTTTCATCATAGAGCTCTTTTACCTCTTTTAAATTTATTCATGGCCAGGCGCGGTGGTTCACGCCTGTAATCCCAGCACTTTGGGAAGCCAAGGTGGGCAGATCACGAGGTCAGGAGATCGAGACCATACTGGCTAATGTGGTGAAACCCTGTCTCTACTAAAATAATAATAATAATAATAATAATAATAATAATAATAATAATTAGCCGGGCATGGTGGCGGGCACCTGTAGTCCCAGCTACTTGGGAGGCTGAGGCAGGAGAATGGCATGAACCCGGGAGGCGGAGCTTGCAGTGAGCAGAGATCGCACCACTGCACTCCAGCCTGGGCAACAGAGCGAGACTCTGTCTCAAAAAAAAGAAAAAAATTGTTCATAAGTGTTTTATTATTATTTTTTCAGCTATTATAAATGGGATTCCTTTCTTCTTTTTCAAATTGCTTCTTACTGGTGTAAAGAAACATTTCTGATTTTTGTATGTTGATTTTGTATCTTGCAACTTCACTGAATTTATTAGTTCTAACCATTTTTGAATGGAGTGTTTGGGTTTTTGTAAATATAAGATCATGTCATCTGCAAAAAGGGACCATTTTACTTCCTCCTTTCCAGTTTGGATGCCAGTTTTTTCTTTCTCTTGCCCAACTGCTCTGGGTAGGACTAGAGTTTCAATTTTGCAAACTTAAAAAAGTTGCACATTGTGAATGTACTTAATGTCACTGAACTTTACACTTCAAATGGTAAAAATGGTGCATTTTCTGTTATGTATATTTCACTACAATTAAAACAACACAGACGAAGCCCTATAGAAAAGTTTTGAAAAAGGCCACCAAAAGCCCTAGAAAGCTCTGGAAGGCACCCAGAGCGAGACCCGCGCAGAGGGGCTAAGGCCTGAGATCAGGCCACCAAGCCGGGCAGACACGGCCAGCTCCTCCTCGTTACTGCTGGCTGCCCCACTGTAGTGAGCTTCCCTCTCTGGGCATCAGTTTCCTTTTATGTAAAAATGGGGTTAGTGGCCTGGCGTGGTGGCTCATGCCTGTAATTCCAGCACTTTGGGAGGCCGAGGTGGGTGGATCACCTGAGGTCAGGAGTTCGAGACCAGCCTGACCAATATGGAGAAACGCCATCTCTACTAAAAATACAAAATCTCTACTAAAAATTCTGGTTAACAAGGTGAAACCCCATCTGTACTAAAAACACAAAAATTAGCTGGGCATGGTGGTGGGCACCTGTAGTCCCAGTTACTCAGGAGGCTGAGACAGGAGAATTGCTTGAACTCGGAAGGTGGAGGTTGCAGTGAGAAGAGATCGCACCACTGCACTCCAACCTGAGTGATGGAGCGAGACTCCGTCTCAAAAAAAAACACAAAAACCAAAAAACAAAAAAACAGGGGTTAGTGACGATGCCTCCCTCAAGGGAAGGTTGTTTTTGTTTCAGTTTTTCAAACAAGGGAAGTTTTGCAGAATGTGATGAAATAATCCATGTAAGGCAGTCAGCACAGAGCGCGGCCACCGAGGGGAGTGGGCCTGAGGTCTCTCAGCTCTCCAGAGCTAGGGCCACAGGAGGAGCCAGACCGGAGAGACCGGGCAGGGTCTGGCCCTCTTGCCCCACCCCTCGTCGGTTTCCTCGGTGACCAAGCCAGCCCACGGGCTCCTCTGCGTGGTCGCTGCGGGGATGGCACTCAGAGAATCCACTGCCTGGGGCTCCTCTGTGAACCAGGGGATCTCTGAGGGTCCTTCAGCCCCAACACCCAGGGATCCGTGGGGCTGGATTCTGGCTGGGGATAGGGCTGGACCCCTAGGAGCCTGTCACATGGGGCAGGCACTCCAATCCAGGATGATTCTGCTGACACGTAACGAGTTCTTGAAGCAGTGTGAACCGGAGCAGTAAGGATGGATTCCACATGGGGGGAACTGGGGAACGGGTTGTCAGGTGTGGGGATTGGGTTAGGAGAGCTGGCTTGGAAGTGGGAAGAGCATCAGCTGGTGGAGACTGGGTGACCTCTGTGTACCGCGGTGGGCAGGAGCACACGCTTAATGCTGAGTGAGTGTATGCGTGTGGCTTTAGCAGGAAGCAGGGGGGATGAACCTCAAAAGAGAAATGGGCCAGGTGCCCACACCTGTAATCCCAGCACTTTGAGAGGCTGAGGTCAGCGGATCATCTGAGGTCAAGAGTTTGAGACCAACCTGGCCAACATGGTGAAACCCCATCTCTACTAAAAACAGAAAAATTAGCTGGGTGTGGTGGCACGCCCCTGTAATCCCAGCTACTTGGGAGTCCCAGGCAGGAGAATCGCTTGAACCTGGGAGGCGGAGGTTGCCGTGAGCTGAGATCTCACCACTGCACTCCAGCCTGGGCCATGGAGTAAGACTGTTTCAAAAAAAAAAAAAAGAAAAAAAAAAGAGAAATGGGAGCCAGGTGGTGAGAGGCTCTGAATGCCAGAACACCATTTACTCTTCCTATTTTTTTTGGATTGGCAATAGGTAAGAAGAAACCCTCCCTGGTGGGAAATGTCTCTTGTGCCAGATGCCTCCAAGGGGTCTTTCAATGCCTTGTCCCAAGTGCTCCTCAGTGCAGCCCATCTGGGTCACACACCAGATGGTGGGGAGCTGAGAACCAGGAACCAAAGTGAGCCCCGATTTGCAGTTTAGAAAGGTCACTCTGGCTGTCATGTGAAGGAAGGACTTGATGGACAGATTAAACGCAGACAGGCCTGTTAGGAGGCTGTTACAGAGGCCCCGGACAGGGATGCTGACGGTTGGGGGTAGGCCCACTCAACAGCTATTCTCAACTCCCTCTCCAGCTCTCCTTCCTCTACTAACTACAGAGTCTGTGAAAGCTAAATTGTTATTTCCCAGCCTCCTTTGCGGCCAAGGATGGCCATGTGACCTTTCTGGCCAACCAGGATGCCTGGAGAGGGTGGCCCTTCCTGAATAAAAGGAAATTCTCATAAGGAGAAGTCAGTGTTTGGCCTCCTTCCCTGCTGCTTGGAAAGTGGGTGTGAGGCTGGTAGGTGCAGCCAACTTGTAGCTCTCAACAGTAAACATGAGGGGCAGAGCAAGTGCTGAGGGTGATGGAACCAAAACACAGAAGGGCCCAGGTTTCTGACAGTACTGCTGGGCTGTGGCTCCAGTCCCTGGCTGCCTCCTGACACCCTACTGAGTGAGATCAACTAACCCCTGCCCGTGCAAGCCCTGCTGCTTGTTGGCAGTGGAGTATGAGTGTGCTGACACATGGAGTGAGGTAGAGGAGCCCAAACCAGTGCAAGGAGAGGACTGGAAAAGTATTGAAAAAGGGAGGGAGTGGCCCTAGCCAAGTGATGCAGAGAGGCAGGGTAGGAGTAGGCTAGAGCCCATGGTCGACTCACTCACCTTCCATTCTACCCTTGCTCCACCCTCCTATACTGCAGAGGCTAGCAAGCTAAAGCCACCCTTTCTCCCGGATCCCTTGCAGCTATGATTCTGGATGTGAATTAGATCCTACCAATGGGATTTGCTCCCATGAGATTTGGAAAACAACTGTCTTCTTGCTGCTCTTGGCAGTCATTGCTGGCAAGTGACCTTGTGGGTGTCAAGAAGCAGTTGTATTAGAGGAGGTAGTGCTGGACCCTGTGTCATAGTGTCTGGACTCCTACTTCCTGAGGCTCAAGATTCAGGTACAGCAGTGGTGGTAGCATCCTAACTCCTGGGTGGCAGCCACAGTGGAGGGGTTGGGGGTGACCCCTGACTCCTCACCTTCCTGTCTGTGGCCTCGGTGGAAGTCCCTCTTGGTCAGTTCTGCGGTGTTCTGGGAGTCATTTCTGGAAACCTGCTCTGGAGCACACTCCCTGAGTACATCTTATGATGTTGTAGGCACTGAATTTCCTATGTTCAATCTCTTTCTGCTTAAGATACCTAAGGCTTCTAGTCCTTACACTGAAACATGACTGATACAAGGACCAAGAAGTGACCTTTGGATTTAGAAATCTGGATGTCATACGTAGGTGAGCCTTGAGGGAGCATTTTCACTGGAGTGGTGGTGTACGGCCATCCATTGTGGGAGCCCTGTTAACACCTATATTAATTTGCCAGGGCTGCCATGTCAAAGGACCACAGATCAGGAGGCTTCAACAACAGGAATGTACTTTCTCATAGCTCTGGAGTCTGGAAGTCCAAGATCAAGGTATCAGCAGGGTTGTTTCTTCTGAGGGCTCCCCTTGGCTGATAGTGGCCGTCTTCTCCCTGTGTCCCCACGTGGGCTTCCCTTTGTGTGTGTCTGTGTCCTAATCTCCTCTTCTTATGTGGACACCAGGCATACTGGGTGAGGGTCCACTTTCATGAACTCACTCTACCTGAATCATCTCTTTTTTCTTTTCTTTTCTTTTCTTTTTTTTTTGTTTTTTGAGACTGAGTCTTGCTCTGTCTCCCAGGCTGGAGTGCAATGGCGCGATCTCAGCTCACTGTAGTTTCTGCCTCCTGGGTTCAAGCAATTCTCCTGCCTCAGCCTCCTGAGTGGCTGGAATTATAGGCATGCACCACCATGCCTGGCTAATTTTTGTTTTGTTAGTAGAGAAGGGGTTTCACCATATTGGCCAGGCTGGTATTGAATTCCTCACTTCATGATCCACCCGCCTTGGCCTCCCAGAGTGTTGGGATGAATTACCTCTTTTAAGATCCTGTCTCCAAATACAGTCACAGGTGGAGGTACTGGGGCTTCAACATGTGAATTTTAGGGGAACACAATTCAGTCTGCAGTTCCCCTAAAAACACGCTCTAATCCACAGAAGTGGGTCAAACCCCAGGAGGACACTGCTGTGGCAGAGGATGGAGATTTAGCTTCCAAGGTTTTGGCTCCCTGGGGTTCCTGGTCCCCAGCCCTCCTTGGCCCAGTCTCCAGATTCCCCATCTTTGTGTGCCAATACTGGTGTCCAATCTCACTCTCACCGACCATGGAGGAAACCAGACTGCAGTGGGCACTTCCTGGAGGCGAGGGCAGGGAGGAGAGGTAGGGCGGGTGGATGGCAGCCGGAGGGGTCCCGAAGACAAAACCCCTGGGCTGCTTCTTTGTAAGATGGGAGAGACCGGATGTGAGATGAGGGAGTCAGTAGAACGAGGTTGAGGATATTGGAGAAAGAGCAGAGTAATACCCTAGAAGTGGGGAGAGGAAGGAGATAAGCCAGACCCACCACACTCACGCTGACATTTATCCAGTGTCTGCTATGTGCCAGTTTCCTTCTAGGTACATGACACATATACTTGTACCCCATGCTCATGGCTATCCAGAGAGGGAGGTGCCCCCATCAGCAATGGGAGAGCAGTTTGCAGAGGTGAAGCCACTTACTGGGGACACATGACCAGTTAGCAGAGGAGGCGGGTGGAGACACAGCCTGACCCCAGAGCCCATGAATAGGAGAGGTAGGAAATTGGAGGAAGAGGACACAGTCATCTTGAGATGGGCTTGAGCAGAGTGGAGACTGAGGTCTCCTCTGGAAGGAGTGGTTGGTGTTTGAGAATGGGGTTGGTGGGAGGTGGGGAGTAGGGGTGAGAGAGAGCCCCCTAGCATTCAGCGAGGGTCCTTGCTGAGGCTGAAAGTGGAGTTTGCCCCCTAGACTTTCTCCCTCTACTATCTGCTGCTGCTGGGCGGATGGGGTGTTAAGCTGCATTCCTTCCCTGGGTGGCCTCCTGCTGCTTTAAATACTGCCTTAGTCTCTGGAGTCATAAAAGAAATGGAAGAAAACACAAATAAGCGGAATGACATCTTGTGTTCATGGAATGGAAGAATCAGTATTGTTAAAATGTTTGTAGCACCCAAAGAGAGCTACAGATTCAGTGCAATCCTTATCAAAATCCCAATGTCATTTTTCACAGAAAAAAATACCCTAAAATTTGTATGGAACTACAAAAGGCCCTGAGTAGCCAAAGCGATCTAGAACAAAAAGAACAAAGCTGGAGGCATCACACAGCCTGATTTCAAAATATACTACGAAGCTATAGTAATCAAAGCAGCATGGTGCTGGCTTAAAATCAGACACATAGACCAAATGGAGCACAATAGAGAGTCTATAAACAAGTTCATGCATTTCCAGTCAATTGATTTTCAACAAAGGTGCCAAGAACATACAACAGGGAAAGGATGGTCTCTTCAATAAATTTTGCTGGGAAAACTGGGTATCCACATGCAGAAGAATGAAACTGGACCCTTACCTCACACTGTATACAATATCAACACAAAGCTTAAATGTAAGACTTGAAACTGTAAAACTACTAGAAGAAAATAGGAAAAAAGCTGGTTGGCATTGGGAGCCATGATTTTTTTGGCTATAACCCCAAAACACAGGCAACAAAAGCAAAAATAAGCAAGTGGTATTGCATCACAATAAAAAGCTGCATAGCAAAAGAAACAATCAGCATAGTGAAGAAACAACCTGTGGAATGGTTGAAAATATTTGCAAATCATAATCTAATAAGGATTTAATATCCAGAATATATAAGAAACTCAAACAACTTAATAGCAAGAAAACAAATAACCTGATTAAAAAATGAGCAGATGACATGAATAGACATTTCTACAAAGAAGACATACAAACATCCAACAGATATATGAAAAATGTTCAACATCACTAATCATCAGGGAAATGCAAATTAAAACCAGAATGAGATATGACCTTGCCTATTAGAATGACTGTTATCAAAAAGGCAAAAGATAACAAGTGTTGCCTAGGACACAGAGAAAAGGGAACCCTTGTATACTGTTGGTGGGAATGTCACTTAGTACAGCCATTATGAAAAACAGTATGGAGTTTCCTCAAAAAACTAAAAATAAAACTACCATATGATCTAGCTATTCCCACTTCTGGGTATATATCCAAAGGAAATAAAATATTGAAGAGATATCTGCATGCTCGTGCTCATTGCAGCATTATTCATAATAGCCAAGCTATGGGAGCAACCTGAGCTTCTATCAGTGGATGAATGGCTAGAGAAAATGTGGTACATATACACAATGGAATATTCTTCAGCCATAAACAATAATGAAATAAGGCCAGGCACGGTGGCTGGGAGGTAGAGGCAGGTAGATTGCCTGAGGTCAGGAGTTCGAGACCAGCCTGGCCAAGATGGTGAAACCTCAACGCTACTAAAAAATACAAAAATTAGCCCGATGTGGTGGTGCGTGCCTGTAATCCCAGCTACTTGGGAGGCTGAGGCTGAAGAATTGCTTGAACCTGGGAGGTGGAGGTTGCAGTGAGCCAAGATCGTGCCACTGCATTCCAGCCTAGGTGACAGAGGAAAACTCCAAAAAAAAAAAAAAAAAAAAAAAAAAAAGAAATATCATTATTTGTGACAACATGGATGAGGCTGGAGGACATTATGCTAAGTAAAGTAAGCCAAGCACAAAACGACAAATACCGCATGACTTCTCATATATGCAGAATCTAAAAAAAAATTGAACTCAGAGAAGCAGAGAGTAGAATGGTGGTTGGCAGGGGTGGGGTGGAGGGTGGAAATGGAGAGATGTTGGTCAAAGGATACAGAGTTTCCTTTAGACAGGGTTAATAGGTCCTGGTGATTTCTTGTACATCATGGGACTATAATGAAAAATAATGGGCTATATAAGTGAAAATTGCTAAGGGAGTCTATCTTATATGTTATCACAAAAAAAATTATGTGAGTTAATAAGCATGTTAATTAGCTTGATAGAATCACTTCATGATGTATACATATATCAAAAGATCACATTGTACCCCCTAAACAGATGCATTATTTGTTTATTTATTTAGCTATTTATTTTTAAGATGGAGTCTTTCTTTTGTTGCCCAGGCTGGAGTGCAATGGTGCGATTTCGGCTCACTGCAACCTCTGCCTCTTGGGTTCAAGTGATTCTCCTGCCTCAGCCTACCGAGTAGCTGGGATTACAGATGCCCGCTACCATGCCAAGCTAATTTTTGTATTTTTAGTGGAGATGGGGTTTCACCATGTTGGACAAGCTGGTCTTGAACCCCGACCTCAGGTGATCCACCTGTCTCAGCCTCCCAAAGTATTGGGATTACAGGCGTGAGCCACTGCACCCGGCCAATAGATGCGTTTTTTGTTTGCCAACTATACCTTAATAAAGGTGTAGTTGGGAGAAAAACAAAGTAAATCCCAAACATCATAGCATTTCACACCAACAAACAGAAATAAATACTGTCTCAGTCTGTTCCGGCTGCTATAACTGGGTGTCATAGACTGGGTGGTTTATAAACAACAGAAACAGCCAGGCACTGGTGGCTCATGCCTGTAATCCCAGCACTTTGGGAGGCTGAGGCAGGCAGATCACCTGAGGTCAGGAGTTTGAGATCAGCCTGGCCAACACAGTGAAACCCCGTCTCTACCAAAAAAATTAGCAAGGCAGGTTTTGGTATAGCGCATTCCTGTAATCCCAGCTACTGGGGAGGCTGAAGTGAAGAATCACTTGAACCCGGGAGGCGGAGGTTGCAGTGAGCTGAGATCTTGCCACTGCACTCCAGCCTGGGCGACAGAGTGAGACAGTGTCTCAAAAAACAAAACCAAACAACTCCAAAAACTCATTTCTCAGAGTTCTGGAACCTGGGGAGTCCAAGACCACAGTGCTGGCAGATTCAAAGTCCGGTGAGACCTGCTTTCTGGTTCATAGATGGTGATCTTGTCACTGCATCCTCACTTGGTGGAAGGGGCCAGTTAGCTCTAGGGACCTGTATTATAAAGGTGATAAGCCCAGTTACGAGGGCTCTTCCATAATGACCTAATCATCTCCCAGAGGCTTCTCCTCCAAATGCCATCATGCTGGAATTAGTTTTTGACATATGAATTCAATATATAAATTCTCAGGGATGTAGACACTCGGTCAATAGCAAATGCCATCTACATTGGGACAAGTCCAGGCTCATGCCTCCAGCCTGGACCCTTCCCCTTTCCCAGAATCTTCTATCCAAACACTCAACAGCTCCATGTCCAACAGGCTTCTCACCCAAAACGTCCAGGACAGAAGCTTGATTCCTGGATGCTGCAAGCCCGCTCCTCCCGCGACCGCCCTCTCCTAGTTAAATGGTGCCTCCATCTGCCAAGGTGCTAAGAATGAAACCCAGCGTCACACTTGACTCCCTCAGCAAGTTCTAAAGGCTCTACAGTACCAACTCTCCGTCCAGCCACTTCTTACACTTCCCACCGTCACCTCCCTGGCCCAAGCCTCCCTCCCCTTGCCTAGACACTGCCATGGCCCCGCCAGGTCTTCCAGCTTCCCTGCTGGTGTCACTGTGGACTATTCCTCACATGGCCACCAGAGGGTGCCTTCTTGACCTGGATTTGCCGGTTTTTCTGCTCACACCCAGAAGAAATCCAAAGTGTGTGAGTGAAGGCTACTTGGTTATTTTTTTCTTTTCTTTTTTTT